ACTAGGGTTTGTGTTCTTGATGTTTTGTGCTTGCCTATTTGATCCAATCTCTTGGCCATGTTTTGACACTTAATTGATGGATATTTGAGGGATGTTTTGGTGCCTTGATGATGAATTTTTGGATGCTTCTTAATTGATTTTGATTGATCCTCAATTCATGCTCGATTAATGACATACTTGAACTTGTTGATTTAATTTGATGATGCAATTATGCAATTATTTTTGGGATTTCTTTCTTAATTAATCTCGATTTCTTTTCCATGAATTAGAGTCTTATATCCATGTTTGTTTGGTCATTTAGATATGTTTGATTAAGGCTTCAATTTAATGGTGTGTTGAGTATGATACTTGTGTGTTCTTGACCTATTCTCTTGAGTTTGTTCTCTTAGGTAATCCATTGATGTTCTTGACTCTTGTGTGACTTAATTGTCTTGTAGGAGCTTCTGACCTTCATGTTTCAATTCCCATTACATGATCATTTTCTTCTAGTACTTCACATATATGCTTGCTTTCTTTTGAAGTTGATGATGGTTGTTGGATATCTAGTTGTGTGCGTATGTTTTGAACTTAATCCTTGATGATTCTTCTAGATATCCTTGAGTTTGATTTTTAAATGATGTTCATGTTTGTGCTACTGCATCTTCTTGGATTCATACTCTAATTTCTTTGTTTGAATTATTGTTGGTTTGTTTTCATAAGATATTTGTTGACACATGCCTAGCCATTAATATGATTCATGTTGAATACTTTTGAGCCTCTTTCTTCATCTTTGAAATGAGTTGATCATGATATAGTGTAGGTTCTAAATTTCTTTGATTCTTATCTTGCTTGACCTATATTAGCTTTGTATGATGATTAATGATGTTGATTATGAACTTAAGATATGTTTGCTTATGCATCTCTTTGGTTGTCCTTGCCTATCTTCTCCAACTTTAATGTATGAATCCTTTGAACATGATTTGTGATGATTGAAATATGTGTGTTAATTGTTTGCTTTGTCCATCTTGATTGTCTTTATTCATTAATGATAAGCATGCTTCGACTTTAGCGTTGATGTATGTCACCTAAGAATTGATTGTTGAATCTTCTTACCTCTTGTGATGTTTGAGTTGACTACTTGATACCTTGATCTTTCTTCTCTTCATCTTCTTTCTCTTCCTTTGAGATTTGAATACTTGGTGTTGTTTATGATTGAGATGTTCACTTGTGTTTGTTCACATGCTCCCTTAAGACTCCTAGTCCAACTTAATTTTTTATTGAGCTTGGAGTAGGATACACATTAGGCTCTCAATCCTTTGCATGACAACATTAAGTTAGTTCCCTTTTAACCTCAATCTTAGGTTCATCTTTTTATATGACAATATTAGATAGTTCTCTTTCTCATCCTCAATTATAAGACCATTTGACATGATAACATCTAAGTGAGTTCCCTTATATGTTTCTTTTCCCTTTGAGTCTCTCTTCTCTCTCTCAAATAAAATAAATATACGTAATAAATATGATGAGTGTTGTACGTTACGAGCCTTAAGTACATGGGAAATGATAAACCAGAGTCTCTCCTTACCTTGTCTAGAGTGATTTGTATACGTCCCATCTTGGGTCGATCTTACAAAGTATTTGATCCTATGTCATAGACTTTAGTGCAATACGCATCACAAGCAAAGTTAAAATACTTCTTTTAAAATCCTTAAACAAATCCAAATCATTTTGTCATTTGGGATTTTCCTTCAAACCTTTTTAGAAAGGGCGTGCTATTTCCGTTCTACCGCATATAGGCCTCGACCCCTAACTGCTGGAATGCGAATTTAGCATCGCTCATATAAGACACTAAGCCACTCGTGGTAGGCCAAACTACGAACGCTCTGATTTCTTCATTCTTGTTCGAATGAAGATACGTAGGTACAAGACAGCGAAGTCTTGGCGAACACCATCCCCTTTTTACCCGCAGTTCTCCGAACTACGTTGACTCTGACTTTTCCATTGCAAGAGAGAATACGTAGGCCTAGGACGACGAAGTTCTATCGAGTCTCCTTTTGGTTTTTCTCCCTTTTCGTTTCCGTTTTTCATTAGCAAGTAGGCCTTAGATATACACACTCTTTAATTAGAATAATAAGGGTAGATCTCGTTAAGTACAACAGACGCGAGGGGGTGCTAATACCTTCCTCTCGCGTAATCGACTCCCGAACCCAGGATTTGGTTGTGAGACCATGTCTTTTTCCTTTTCGAGATTTCTTCGATTGTCTCCTTTCCCCCGTCGAGATAAATAATGTTCGGTGATTACTCTGTTTTTTCACCGATTATTTTTCGCGTTACGACACTAACCATACAAGTTCATCCCGCATTACCGTAAACAAAATCAACACCACTATTTAAGATCATCAGTTCTTCAACTACATTCATTTTTTATTTCTAAACGTAACATAATCTAATTAAAAAAATTTCAGCACAAGTAACAAAATTTAGACGGTAAAATTCTTCTGTTATAGTGTGTTATCATCCCGGATAAATCAAATAGCATTGTCATTAAACTATTTTTGGTTGACTAACCATTGAAAGATTCATACTTTAGCCTCCAAGGTTCATACTTTCAAAAACTGAGTTTTTTTTACACAAATCTTAAAATTGAGAAAACTCTCTTCACTTCAACATTAAATCTCTCCTCACTCTAATAAAAAAAAAAGTTTGAACTTCATTTGCCAACTAAGTTAACATCATCAATGACCATCTTGGTACCCTTTGATGTGAAAGTGAGGAGGGTCCCCTCAATCTTAAGATTTGGGTAAAAAAACATGATTTCTAAAAAAAGTGTGAACATGCATAACATCTTTTCCTCTTCAACTTTCTATGTTTTTCTTAATTCTTTTACTACTAAATAAACCTCTTCCAACAATAAATATCTAAACAAAGCAGTTCATTACAAAAAAATCTATCATTATCCAAGGCCATAATATGTGTACTAGTCTTCTCCTGAACATGCTGGATTCAATTATGAATCTTGTTCAACCTATTATTATCTTAGAAAGTATATAGAGCATGTTAAAACCATGAAGTATGCTCCAAATCCCACACAAAATATGTAAATACCAGATTATACAACAACAACAACAAAACATAACAAAGGAATTTCCAAAAAAAAAAAATTCTTAATTTTCACTATGGTCTATATTTGACAATACTAAACATAACAACTAAAATACTGACATTTTTCATGTTAAAATGAAGGCTTACACATAGTGAGAGCATGTATGGTTGGATACTACTATATATTTCGCACTTATTTCATGTGTTTGATGATGCTTATTTCTATAGATCTTATTTTGAATTTACCAAATTTCTTTATAAGTTTATTAGTTTATGTATTATACTAATTAACGTATGATAATTATTTTTAATTATTTTTACTTTTCAAAAAAATAATATCGAAGACTTAGTTAAGAGTAAAATATCTAAACAAACACTTACTTTATTTAAAATTTGACTTTCGATATAGTTACTGACAATTTAATCGTAGATATGTAAGACGAATGATTTGTCGTAAAAGTTATATATCAAATGCTTTAAGATTTTAGGGAGAGATCAAATGTCTCTCTCTTTTGTGATCGGGAACATTGACTTGTGGTTTTTTTCAACACTCTTCCAAGTTCTTTAACAAATAGTATCAAAGTTCTGGTCCGATTTAATGAAGGATCTGAGATAAAATTTTAGTATTAGATCAAGTATATTGATTTGAGAGATTCACATTTGAGAGGACAAATAGTTGGATTCAAGTTAGTGGTTAGTGATTAGTCTAACAATGTTTAAAAATGATTAGTCTTTCTCTTATGTGATCCTAAAACATTGACTCATTGTTACTCCAAACACTTTTATAAACCAATAAAAAGACATAAATACCCTTTAAAATTATTTGTTTTATAATAAAAGAAAATGTTAAAATGCAAAAATAAAATAAAATGATAGTAGTACTTAAGTTGATATATTCATCACCTATCAATTTCTCTCTATGTTGGAGAGAAAATCCTTAATCAATACCAATTTTTTTGTTTGTATATATTTCTCTCCTCTCCCATCTTTCCTTTACCTTACTTTGGTTTCAAACATAGACTATTAACACAACACACAATTTATGTGTCTATTAGGATATAGAGATAAAGACTTTGACCCAAATAAATAAATTCTCAATATTGAGCTTTCTTCTCTTTAGTCTTCAATATGTTGGAAAAGTTGCATGATTGAAAATCCATCTTCAAATAATTAATAAAGTTGTTGAGTTCTATCACATAGTGCTAATCATACACACACATCACTATTAACAAATCAACTAATTTATTTGACTAACATTTTATATATATTTAAGTACTTAATCACAAATCCTATTAAAAATTCCCAATCATAGGTAAACTGTTGATGATAGTTGATTAGGAAAGTGATGTAGACATCAGTACTAATACTTTTCAATGTGCTTATATTTTAAATAACCAAATTGATTCATGGTAGTTAATAATGACTTATTTTTCTTCTAACTCACCATTATTAAAGCTTTTAAAGTATCTTCATGCTTAAACACTTTCAACTTAATTTTTTTTTAAATTTTAATACCGACCAACCAAAAAAATATCACTGTCTACTAACTAAGACTTTCAACTTAATTTCATGATAAAGAAACAAGATACATATATATATTACATAAGCAAACTTAATAACAAACTAAGCCAAATAATCAACTACAAGTAGTTTCATCAAATGGCATCATAGACTTATACTAAAAACATCACAAAATATGAAAATAACAAAGCGAACTTCGCAAATATAAATAGTTCAACCAATAAGAATTCGATTAATTCAAATTTAATAAAAATCTGAATTCAAATTCTGTTGATTGAGTCCGAGACTTTTTAAACTCTAACGAGTTTTTTTTTACCTTATTCAGATACATTTTTATTTTTAAAGAGTTTCATTTTCAAGAAACCCTAATTATTCCTTAAAACACAACTTCAAACTTTTCAAGCTAACATAACAGCACAATTATAAATAAAAGGATTAAGATTTCCACTCCCACACACAATTTGCTTCCATTCCAAAACCTCCAAATCATGATGAGGCAAACAAGTATAAATCTTCATCAAAGTCTTATGTGAACAAGAATTAGAACTATCACCAATAACAAGCAATTCATTTCCCAAAGATTTGAATGCGATCCCCAAACCGCCTTGTATATCGGCTCTCACAGGAACAAACCCTATTTTCTTCCACAAATTCTTACCTTTCACATAAACCTTAACCTCGTTCGACGAAGCATCGAGCGAATACAATTCATTGGTAACAACGGCTATAAGAGGCGGTGATCTTGAACTCGAAAGAACAATACCTTTCAACATGTTTGGAATCAAGTTCCATTTGTTGGTCTTTTCGTCGAAGAATTCACCACATGTTAGATTCTTTCGGTTTTCATCTTGGCCTCCAATTACATAAAACTTGTTGTCCAAGTAACAACCTGAACAACATTTTCTCTTTTGGTTCATGTTTGGGAGTTTTTGCCATGTTTGGTTTTCGGAATTGTATTTTTCAGCTGAATTCAAAACTTCAATGCAGTTTTCTGTTTCAAGTCCACCAGCAATATAAGCAAAAGTGTTAGATGAAGCTGATGCAAAGACACACCTTGGTGTTATCATTGATGGACCTTTGAACCATTCATTTGTTGTTAGTTCATATCTCCATATAACTGTTCCATCAATCTCCATACCTATAAAAAATAATTGATAACTACGGTCAGGTCCCGTTAAGTCAGCCTAGTTGATAACTTTGCAGAGACATTTAATTGCAGCGGAATATTAAATACCTGAAACAAATAAATGTGTGCCAGCAGAAAAGGGCTCTTTAACACCACATTCAAATTTATAATCAGATGGAATAATTGGCAATTTCTTGCATGACTTGAATTCACCATCAAACACACACCAATTCCTCTCACCACTTGCCAACATAAAAACTGATGATTCTTTCAGCCCTATCGTTCTCCTTATCTTATAAATTTCACCACTCTTCATTAGATTCAAATACTTCTTGTTTAAGCAACACATTTTCCAGTGTTTTGATATCGGAAACCGCGACAATATCATTGTCTCTATCTCATCACTGAGATATGGTAATGGTAGAACATAATCTGCATCCTGAGGTTCTTCACCTGAGGCTGAGGAGGAACCATTGTCACTCAAAAGTGGCAATTCTTGAATTCTCAAACTTTCATTGAAGGAGTGTGGTGAATTTCCGCAAATTCCACCGTTATAGAAACTCCACATAGGTAATGATCTTTTACTAGACACACTATAACTCATTTTCATGCAACTTTTTTTACTTTTTCTTTGAATCTTTTTGATGAACAAAAGGCTTCACAATTAGACCTTATCGCTATGTATCTGAAATAATAAGAAAAAATCACTGTCATAAATTATTTTCATAAGTTTTTTCAAACCGTTTAGATTAGTAAATAATCTCGAATAAGTCAATCTAAACGGATTTTGTAAATATAATCCAAAAGGATACTTACCTTAGAAGACTTCACATCATGAGATTGAACATGCCGAAATTCAGAAAGAAAAAAAAAACCATTGATTTCTTTAGGGTTTGTCCATATTTTGTCATTAAGATGGATCAAACATGAAGATACATTCCATTTTTTGTGTTAGGAAAATAAGTGCTTAAAAGTTAAGTAAATAAGGTGTGTGTTTAGGGATTAAAATACCCTTAGAGAATTAATATTTTATAATATATGTCATCATCATGATTATCATTAAGAACTATCATTGTCTTTCTTTTTCTTTTTCCATTAAAAAAAAAGTAGAATGAATATGCATTAAAGAGAAAAATACTGTGTGAGTGATTTCATGGTTCACATAGTATAGTTGAAAATTTTCAATGGTTTTTCAGCACTAGAAATGTGACAGAAAGTTAAAATAAAATAAAATAAAGAAAGAATAAAATACTGAAGAAAGGAGAAAAAGATGAGGCACAGTTTATGTTTTTGGTTTTGGTGATTAGTTAAATTTTTTCCTCGTTTTGTGTAAGTGTTGGTTTGGTGCAGAAAAGGAGAATCTGTTGATATGTGTAGTGTTAATTTAGCATGCATTTTGTGCATAAAGAAGTTTTAAATAATACTCGTTTGTTGCGGCAGTTTAGACCATATTAGTGAGATTTTAATTTTATCTTTTCTTGCTATCATATTTCTGTTACCGATATGCACCATTATATTCCCGCTCCAAAAGTTTGATCCTAAACTGGAGGGGTGTGTTAAAAGTATCGCATTAAAAATAATATGGTTTTAATATATAATAGCGTTTAGACGGGCACGCGACGCTTTTTAATGCATAAGTAAAAATTTAAATAATATTTTTTATTTAATATTAATTTTAAATGAAAGTTAAATAGAATATTAATAGTAGAAAGTTATTAGTAGAAAATTAGATAGAAAGTTATGTAAAAAGTTAATGGAAGTTATTGAGTAAGTTATATATTAAAATAAAGGTAAAATTGGTAGAAAAATAGGCTACATCAAAACACCATGTTTTTCTTTTATATATGTTATAAATTTATAAGTGGGGACACTTCCACTGTAAAATTCAGTTTTGTAAGGTTGGATTACATTCAATTATATTGAAAAAATATTAAGTTTTACATTGATCAAATATACAATATACAAAGAATTTATATAAAATGACACCCCTCACTTTACCAATCGATTTACATCATTAATTTGGACCACTTATCGTTTATATCAACGTACCAAGTCCAATAGTGCTAAGCATGAAGGGATGTATTGTGAAAAACTCAAGTTTCACATATATTAAAGATACAATCTAGGCACTAAATTCAATAGTGTTGGCGTGAGAACGAGTTTTAAGAGTCTCTTATTTAGAGTCCGCTCAATCAATCTAAAGACCTTATTCGAATTTAAAAATTAAACTTAAAAAAATTTGAATTTATATTAAATTTTTTAAAAAATTGATATTAAATCATAAATTTTGAAAATAAATTATAGTTTTACATTTATTTTAAGAAAAATAAATAAATAAATGTAAAATAGATTTTGAAAACTAATTATAATATTACACCTTTTTTTTAAATATATATATATATATATATATATATATATATATATATATATATATATATATATATATATATATATATATATATATATATATATATATATATATATATATATATATATATATATATATATATATATATATATATATATATATATATATATATATATATATATATATATATATATATATATATATATATATATATATATATATATATATATATATATATATATATATATATATATATATATATATATATATATATACTCATAATGTATTGTTTTAATAATTAGAGGAAAATAAATAAATAGACTCCAAAATTTAGAACCCAATACTATAGGATATACTGCACTTGCTGAAGGTCGGCACTGTCCTAAATTAACAAAGCCAAGTAAATCCTAGATTAAAAAGATGTCAATAATGTATTTTCTTATAAAATGATTTTTTTTAGGACAAATGTGTACAAATAAATTTTAAATTATTAAAATAATTATTAATATATTAGTTAAGAATACAACTATATCTTCAACTTATGATCAGTAGTAGTACGAGCTCTAAGTTTTCTTATTTATTATGATTATAAATAAATATTTAAACAGTAGCATGTCAAGACATAAAACACAATTATATATTATTATATCATCTATGATGTTATTGACTTGTTTTCCAACCTAGTTCTAAAAACTAACTTTTATATATATATATATATATATATATATATATATATATATATATATATATATATATATATATATATATATATATATATATATATATATATATATATATATATATATATATATATATATATATATATATATATATATATATATATATATATATATATATAGGAACGTATGAAAATGTCATTTTTAGATGAGAACGTAAGAATGAATCTGAATCATTAAATTTTAAAGTAAATAGAGAAGAGAAAAAAAAATCACACATAATCTCCACCATTTATTATAAAATCTAATAGTTCAAATTCATTCTTATGTTCTAATATAAAAATGACATTTTCATATGATATGTTTTATATATATATATATAATCTCACAGATTAAATAACGTTATAAATTTCTTAGGTCCCGTTATATATATATATAATCTAATAGTCCTGTGTTGTGACACTGTTTGCACATGCACAAGGTCAACACTGCTTATATATATATAACATGAATATGTGTTTATAAGTGAGACAATTATCAGCTCAAAAGACAGTTTAATGGAATTTAGTTAAGTCCAACTACACATTCTTTATAACCAACTAGATTTTGTTCTTTAAATTCTTCAGTACCAACTAGATCCAAAAATTTCAATAAATTTAAACTAATAAAAAAAGTCAAAAGTTTAAACTCTAAAACCTAAATTCTAAAACTTTCAAGACAAAAAAATTCAAGGAGATTTAATTTTTAAGAAATGAATTTTTAAGATTGTGAATGCATCTTATTCAAGAAGTAGTTTTGATGAAGATAAAAGGTCTAAAGGACTTATGTATATTCAGTACTAAAATATGAAATTAGCGGAGTATTCCAGCAGTGGTGATGGTGGGTGGTGGAATAAAGTCAAATCGAATTGGCATAAGGAGTGGGAAAATGTGAATCTTTTCAGTCAAGAGGGGTGAGAGATTCAGTGGTTTCAACTTTCTTCTTCACGTCGTTTCATGAGAAGATGAGGGCTAAGGAGCTATACAATGTCTTTAAGGGCTATGACGAGATTAGTGAAGTTATCATCCCGACAAAGAGGGATATAAGACACAAAAGGTATGAATTCGCTAGGTTTTTTTGGGTGAATGATGAGAGGTTGTTGGCGACTAAGCTAGACAACATATTTTTGGGAAATGTGAAGATTCGGGTGAATCCTCCTAGGTTTGCGAGGCCATCTTCAGGCCCCTTTACTAGAGGCATAAATGATATAGAAGCAGCGGGGATGAATGGGGCCTCTTCTCAGGGTTTCATTTCGAGGAAGACGATGGGATGGTGGTGAAGGAAGGTTTTAAAGGATTCAAATATTTTGCGCAAGTTCTAAGTCAAGGAAGGTCACATGCAAAAGGTAATTGAGAACTTCGAGGCTTTAATTCTTCTGGTGATCATCGTCAATGGGAAGGATTATTTTGTTTCTCAATTATTTGTATGAAGACTTTATTACTATGTTTAGTAAGGCCTGGATTGGTGAAGTGCGTGTGTCAGGTATGTCTTATAAAATGCAAACAATCTTTGAAATGGAAGGCTACTTTGAGGTGAAATTCACTCCGTTTTGAGAAAATTTGTGCTTAATAGAAGAAAGATAGGAGGGGGAGATTAAGGAGTTGGTGGTTTTGGGGAAGAACTGGATAGGTCAATTATTTAAGGACATTAGAAGATAGAAGCCTTTGGAGGTGAACAAGGAGAGGGTTACTTGGTTACGTGAATACAGGATTCCTTGCCATGATTGGAATGCTAAATTCTTCCAATTTATTTATAAGCATGTGGGAACCTTTTTGTATGTTGATGATGATACTAGACTCCAAGTAAAAATGGACATCGCAAGGTTTCTCGTGAGAACTTGTTGTACCAATGTGTTGAATGATGCCTTGAAAGTTCGTATTAATGGTACTTTGTTTATGAAATTCTAGCACTAAGAGGATAGATGTAGTATACGATGTCACGACACCAAAATGTCAAATGCGATATCAAGACATTGTGACAGCAAAATTAACAATGAACAATTTAAACAAATTGCAGGAAGTAAATAACACAAGGGAGTTGTTAACCCAGTTCGGTGCAATGTCACCTACATCTGGGGGCTACCAAGCCATGAAGGAAATCCACTATAATAGTATTAGTTTGAAGCTCTTATGTAAGCAGCCTCCAGTTTACAATCTTTGCACCTAATCACTACTCGTGCAATTTCTATCTAAGACACTCTTAGATAAGAAATCTCTCTGACTCCCCCTCAATCACACAACAGTGATAATAAAACAAACAATAAAAAAAGAAGACACATTTCAAGAAATAGAATGCACTCTTGCTTAAAAGCTTATGAGTGATTCAAAAGTACAACTCTGCTAAAAATAGTCTAGCTCTAGTATCAAAGTGATGTAAGAGTGGCTCACAATTAACAATGAACAAACAAAACCCTAAAGAACTCTCATAAAAATATGGATGCCCTTCTTGCACTTCAGGCTTAGAGTCTTCTTATAAATAGCCTTTGAAAAGTATGGACTTGATGAGTAAATCGGGCTAAATTAAATA